TTTCGTCCTGTAGTGGTGGAGGATATATACAAAAGAAGACAGCCTTTACCCTCCATGGAAGCCATATACTTCATCCAACCGACTAAAGAGAAGTAATATTCTTTGGCTGAATTTCAACTGCTCTTTTTTGTGTTCCTGAATACCATTGCCTTCATATTTTGGGGTCTCTTTGTCTCCCAGGCATTAGAATGATTATTGTATGTTGACGATTTCTGTTTTGCAGCATTATCATGTTCCTGTCAGACATGTCTGGGAAATCACCCTTATACAAGAAGTATGTTAAACAAATTTTGTGTTTTATTTTTGGACCATTTAGGCTAACTTGTCAGAGTTCGTACAATTCCATGGCTCGCTACTGACAATTATTTTATTTTCTGCATTTTGAAGGGCTTATGTTTTCTTTAGTTCATCTGTCTCCCGGGATTTGGTAACTCATATCAAAAGAGATGGCACTGTGTTACCTCGGATTGGTGCTTTGAGAGAGGTAGGCATTTCTTACCCTGACTAGTCGATCTTTTGATTTATCCACGTGTGTTCCAGAGTAATTTGTTGTCAGCTTGTATGTATTATTTCAAGTGTTAACTAAGTTAAAGCTTGTGTGCAGATGAATTTGGAGTATTTTGCTATAGATAGCCAGGTATGTTTGTCCACTGTCGCACATTACAAATCAAATTATGTAATTTCTTTTATTGTTGGTTTTGTTTATATAGCCCGGCTCTTTGGATGCTATCTTAGTCTTGTGTAAATATATTGATTTTTGAAGTCTTGAACAGCAATGGAATGGTAGATGCGATTAATGCTTAGACAAACATGCTTAGAGTTATATCTGTAGAACTGATGGAGTCGTAAATAATCTTCTGGCATTCATGTTGTCTGAGCCTTATTTTCTCTCTCTCACCCTTATTTTTCATGTCTCAATACAGGCTTTCCTAACTGACCATGAAAGGGCTTTAGAAGAGCTTTTCGGGGATGAAGAAGATTCCCGAAGAGGTGACGCAGCTTTGAGTGTCATTGCTACTCGGATAGCGACGGTTTTTGCTTCACTAAGGGTATGTAAAAGAGTGTTTCCCCTGTTACTTATGCTGCTTCAATGATATATTGACTCGTACATCTGTCCAACTTACAGGAATTTCCTTATGTGCGATATCGTGCTGCCAAGTCGCTTGATGTGACGACAATGACTACTTCTCGTGATCTTATTACCACAAAACTTGCTGCTAGAGTCTGGGATCGAATTTCACAGCATAAACAAAAGATTGAACAGTTCCCTCAGACTGAAACTTGTGACTTACTCATCCTTGATAGATCTGTGGATCAGGTATTAATATTTAATTGCCTGAGCTGATTATTCAGTCATACCAAAGTTTGGTTATTTGTTGATACAGTTATCTTTGTGGTGCTAGATTGCTCCCATCATTCATGAGTGGACATATGATGCGATATGCCATGATCTATTAAATATGGAGGGCAACAAATATGTCCATGAGGTATTTTATAACAGCATATCCGTTTCCATTCTTCCTAAAATTCGTAGTATAAATTTATAATAGTACAAACAGTTTGAGGAATTAATTCTCAAGGGTTTCGCTGTTTAGGTTTCCAGCAAATCAGGTGCTCCGCCTGAGAAAAAGGAGGTCCTATTAGAGGAACATGATCCTGTGTGGGTCGAGCTTCGCCATGCACATATTGCAGATGTAAGTTGGTGGTTAGTACTCTTTGCGATCTTTAGGTTCCCAGTTAATCACCTTTGGATATGTTTGCCTGTGCAGGCCAGTGTGAGGTTGCACGACAAGATGACAAATTTTGTATCAAAAAACAAAGCTGCACAGATCCAACATGGTTCAAGGTTGGTGCAAAATTCTTCTGAAAATTCATTACCAAAGGTAGCTTTATATAGCAGCAGACATGGATATTATCCCAGTACAGCTATTTGCAAGAGAAAAGAAAGATTGTTGGATCCAAGCCGCTTGTGAATTCTTGTTCTGGGCCTTTCGTAGTGACTTGTTGGTGCTCGGTTTGTTGCTAGTTTGACTCATCAGCTGTGCTGACTGCAATGTTAAAATAAATACCCAATATATGCTTCTCTAGTCTCACTATATCCTATTTTCTACCAGAGTTTCTCTTCTGCTTAGTTGAGAACAATATAAGAATGCATACAGCTTTCTTTTATCTAATGAGTCACTGGTCAATTGTTTTATATAGTGGGTTGTTCTTGCTCTGCTTGATTCATGCTTATCCCTGAATCATGATTAGATCTTTGGAGTTTGCTATCACTGATGCTCTGCATATTTGTACATCTGGTGTGAAAAGGTCCTAATAGTGACATAAAAACTGGGCTTGTAGTTTTAGACTTCTATTTTGTTTGATGGAACTGTTTCTCGGCTTAAATTTTGATATTGTGCAGAGATGGTGGCGAACTTTCTACACGAGACTTACAAAGGATGGTTCAATCATTACCGCAATACAGTGAGCAAATTGAAAAGCTATCTCTTCATGTAGAGGTGTGCTCCTTTACTTCGGACACTTGAGCTTTTTCTACATATGGTTTCCTCACAAGGGTCGTGTTGTATTGGTGCAGATCGCAGGGAAAGTTAACCAAATTATCAAGGACTCTGGCCTTCGAGACCTTGGACAATTGGAGCAAGATCTTGTATTCGGAGATGCTGGGACAAAGGATGTTATCAAGTATTTGACTACAAAAGAGGTAAGCAGGTTTCCTAAAAGATGTACAGTGGAAAACTATTGCTGGTCACGACCCTTAATAGTTGCAATGTCCTATGCAGGATGCAAGCCGTGAAAACAAGCTACGATTGTTGATGATTCTTGCAGCAATATACCCTGAGAAATTTGAGGGGGAGAAGGGGTTTAATCTAATGAAGGTAATCCTCTTTTTATTGGCTTTCTTGTTCAACAATGCATTACCTTCCAAATCCTCTGATCCTATCTACATTGAGAGAACATATTTGAACTTTTTTCCTCTACATACAAAAGACATGTATAAAACTGATATTGCAGTACCTCACTCTCATGGTGTGTGTGCTTGGTGGCATATACTGGTCTATTAATTTGAATGCCTTGCAGTTAGCTAAGTTACCGCAAGACGACATGAATGCTGTAAACAACATGAGATTGCTTGGCGGTGCCGCAGAGACTAAGAAAAGCTCAGCTGCTAGTTTCAGTCTGAAGTTTGATATAAAGGTGATAAATATTTCTTTACTAAAATAGTGGTTTCAACTTGTTGAGATTGTAATTTAGAAGCATTCAGTCTTACTTTCTTTTCTCCTATCTTATTCAGAAGAAGCGAGCAGCAAGGAAAGACCGTGCTGGCCAGGAAGAAACAGGATGGCAGCTATCCCGGTTTTACCCCATGGTAGAGGTATGCGCTGATTAGGCTTCTTCTATTTTATTTTCTTACTCTACTCACCGTGGTTTGCACGCGTTCGGTTCTCACCCATCTTCCACTATTTCTCTCAGGAACTTGTTGAAAAACTGAGCAAGGGGGAGTTGTCAAAAGATGAGTACCCGTGTCTAAACGACCCGAGTGCAACCTTTCACGGTACATCTCCAGCTGCGATAATGAATAGCTCTCCAGCTCCTCACTCCATGCGATCAAGACGAACACCTACATGGGCTCGCCCTCGACACTCCGATGATGGTTATTCAAGGTAACAGGGCACTGTAGAACACACAATGCATCCTTGTACTATCATCTACCAGTTGGTGAAATGCCATTTTCATTTTCTTTCTCTTATCTCATTATATCAGAGTGATTGTTGGGCCCCAAATGTTGGCCTATGTTTACTGGTGTCGCGCTTCTGTTTGCTGTTGCTAGTTTTAGTTTCTGCTCATGATTGGGGACCGTTTTCTAGTTTGGGTGCACTTCGCCTGCTCCTGGGTTAATTACTTAATTTGTCCCATGTTCCACGTTAAGGCCTTTCATTCTTTTGTGGAGTTCTGTCCGTTGTGGGCCTTCTCCATGACCTCTATATATGCTTCTTTGTCTTCCTCCTTTTCCTTGATAAATTCTTCATCGCCTTATAGGAAAAAACAGAATCATAACAGACATTTCCGTTGATATTCCTCCTGTTGGATCTAACTCATATCATGCATACAGTGAGTCGGTGCTAAGGCATGCATCTAGTGACTTCAAGAAGATGGGCCGCCGGATATTTGTGTTCATCGTTGGTGGAGCTACGAGATCCGAGGTTTGTACGATTTATAAAGCCCTCTCAATATACTAGTCTGCCATCACACTGATACTTGTCATCCTTTCATCTAACTTTTACTTCTTTTCTTTGTTCTTCACTTGTCATAGCTTCGGGCTTGTCACAAGCTGACAAGCAAGCTGCAAAGAGAAGTCGTGCTAGGTTCTACCAGTCTTGATGATCCTCCCAATTTCATCACGGTATATTTTGATATTGTCACAATAATTCCCCACTCTTCCTTATAGCTTATAAGTGCCAAATATTGACCCTAAGGCTTCTGAAAATTGCAGAAGCTCAAACTTTTGACGGCACATGAACTTTCATTGGACGATCTGGAGATATGAAAGCATGGTTACATTGTTGTCTGATAGAAACCTGAAACAGGAAATGGTCATTCACCTGGTGTCTGTACTGTTAGATTGATTAATCACATTGTGTATCTACCATTGTTCATCTTTAGCATCTCATGTAAAATGTCCAGTGCTTATGGTCTCCCTATTCTCATTGTAGCGGTGCTATTTCGGCGTAAGCTTGTTAAGATATCCAGGCTGTAGCTTCTGCTGTTTTTCTCTCATTGATTTTCATTGTAATTTGAGGTACAGGATACAGACATTCCCAGAGGAGTTCTTGTGTATAAATATATTGCTACTAACCAATAGGAAAGAAACATACTGCTTGTGATTCCTGATTCGTGGAGCATGGATTCTTTGTGTATTCAATAAAGTTAGTTTCAGTCGTTATGTGTAACTATGTTTGCCTATTGATACACTAGATGGTCTTATGAATCACAAGAGCTAGAAATGAACAGCCATTGCAAACAGTCTTTCATCGCTAATCCGCGCAAGCTGTATGCATAATCAGACACCAATTAAACAATGCGAGTAGAGAACATGTTGATTAACATGAATTCAGGTGTGTAACCACACAATTACAGGGGGATGTTAGACTACAACAAAGCAGAAACCAGGAGAGTCTGGCAGGTGCCGACTAAGGAAGAAGCCAAAGGCTAACGACACAGTTCCTTAGCATTTCTGGAAAGTTCAGACTCTGCTTTCCTCTTCTTCACTTCACCAACCAGCCTCTTCACGTAAGAAACGTAACCATCAACGTCAAATTTCCTTTTGCAACCAGCATAGTTCATGTACCGTATTTTTCCGAAAACAGGTCTCTCCCGCCAACCCTATATATGGCAACAACAGAGACAAACTTCAGATTGTAATATGCTACATTTGTGTAGAGTATGTAAGAAACACAGGATGCAGTTGCAAATGCATTCTCTATCTGTATACTTGAGGCATGAGCTATGCCTTGTGCAGTAAGGAACTATATGAGAGCGAAATGATAGAACCCATACCTGATCATGAACACCGCATATTGACCACATGCAACCAACGTATCCATTCGGATCCCTTCCATCTATCTCATACTGCAACGATTATTGTTAGCGTCAGCTGAACATTCATATGGTTTTTTTTTTTTGAGAAAACATTCATATGGTTGATAACGAGCTAACTAACAGCAGTCGGCCATCTACCTTGTTATTTAAATGTATTGCAACTGCCAGGGCTTCTTCTGGTCCTTTTGTCCATTCCAGTATCTTTTTGGCCCAATACATTCTGCATCAATTGTATCTAATCGCTTTAAATGATGAATGGAAATAAATTTCAGTTCTGGCCTCCTAGCATCATGAGAAAAATAAAAAGACAGCAGCTAGTGACACAATTCTGGTCAGGATGGTACAGCCCTGCCTCCATAGTTAGAGAGATTAAAAGACTACAATATCAGGTTCTTAGAGTGCTAGTATTTTGTTTAAACCCAATTGTTGCTAAAAGATCAATGCAACAAGTAAGTGTTAAAGAATGATAAAAAAGGAAGAGGTCGCTTGCCTCATGAATCCATGCATCTTTCCATAGACGACCATCTCCAGTTGAGAAGCATTCCAAAGCTGAAGTTTAAGTGCACATATAAGAATAAAATCCAGAAGGACAAACAAAAAGCTGACCGTAGCAATATGGTATGGACACAGCCAACTTACAGGATCACTTGTTTTTGCCTTCTCTAGCTGTTCCAACCTATTAATATTTAATTCAGTGTCAATAGCGAGTATTAAGAAATCTGCCAACTGAGACAACATAAAACACAAGACTGAGAGAAACGGTACACACGAGTAGACATGCTCCCTCTTGTCAGTAGCATGATCCTGCAAGGTCTTCCTTGCCCATTCCCATGCCCCTGCCAGTGAATCATAGTGCGGCTGGTAGTAGCAATAGTTATCAGCAAGTTCTCTGCGCACGATAAGCTCCTCCAAAAATGCATCGACTGACTTCAAAGCAGCAGGCAGATACAAAAAATTTCAGCTACTAATCAAATGTGGCAGCTAATTGGTCCATATATAGAAAAGCAATTTCAAGTTGAAGAGCATAATCTAACAAACCTGGGGGCTCCGCAGCTTCACTTTATGTGACTCTAGGGCGCACCTCTGAGCAGATATTTGTCCAAAATGAAGATATGGAGATAACCCAGAGAGTCCTTCAGGTTTTAACGGGTTATTCCGATCACTAGAATACAACTTTAACCTTTTGGTCAAGAAACCATCTTTAGACCCCATCAATACTTCCATTGCAGCATCTTCTCCTGGTATGCACCATTCAATTTCTGGGACTTCGGCTCCTTTCCTGTGGTAGAGAAAATCAGGACATCAAATTTCTAATCCCTCGGTGCACAACTTAACCTAAAAACAATTAGAAGAAACGAGTCAATTTCTAACCTCAAAACCTCAAGGATGATATTATCCCAATCCACAGCAGTTTGATCTTTGGCAGCAACCCACTTAGCTTTTGGTGGAAGTAACACAGGGAAATCAATGAGATACTCTGGTAACCTTTTCGTTATCTTGGTCCGTATGGTCCTAGCACTGTACTCCAACTTCTCCGACGCTACCCATAGTGGCACCACATTGTGCGCATCAACTTCGTGAATTGTCACCGAATCGCTCACTCTCTTCAGGATCTCTTCTTTACACTTGCGAATTTCCCTTAAAGGTGAGAAATCAGTCACTAAAAGTGATGCACCACACTCCTCTAAGAACTTTGGTACATTTTCTTCAGCTTCTCCCTAAGCAATAGATCATATGCAGAATTATGTTTCAAACAAGACCTCCGAAGGAAAATGTAGCAATGGGTCTGATTCCAAAGGAGGAATAAACCTTACCCGGAACAAAAAGAACGGGATTTGAAGCTTCTCTTCAATATCCACTTGAACCTGCCGCAAACCCTTCAGCATAAACCCTAATTGTCTAGCCTTTGCCCCCAAAAACTGATCAAACAGATTAAAAGCAACCGCCACGGGGACATTCCGCTTGTTCGCCTGATCAACAGCGTGTATCAAAGCCCAGTTGTCCCTATGGCGTTGATCCCTGAACATCCAGTACACAACAGGACCCATTTGCTTCGCCGATCCTTCTTTGAGGACCCGGATCCGACCCGGTTGCACGGCAGCGGATTGGCCCGGAGGGGGTGCCAAGGAAGAAGCCATCGTGAATAACGCACGAAAGCGCCGGTTGAACGGAAAGTGGCTGTTAAATTGCGCCGGCGTCGTGCGGAAGCGAAGAGCTAAGCGCGCCAGAGTCGCCGGCGGAGTCGAGAAGGTGAGGAAATGGAGGGAAATCAGGAGGGGGAAAGTGAAGGAAATAGTTAAATAAGTGGCTTCGAACCAAAATACGCGGACCACTCAGTAAATGACAAGTGTAAACGCGTTCGTTAATTCGGCGGGAAGGTATGCCTCATTTGTTGGTCGGATCCGTGGGCTGTTCTGTTGGGCTTGATAAATCTGGCCCAGCTGTCAAAGAAGGATTATGGGCTTCACAAGATACAGCTTAATCATAAATACAGTACCGTATCGACGGTTCGACCAGAAAAACCTCTTACTGGAAGCGAAATCGGTAGAAAGTATTTAGCAGTATGAAGCGGTTGAACCACGGTTAAACCACAATTTAAATATAAAATATCCTACGATTGACTTTTCCGGTACAACCTCCGGTACGGTATTTCAATCCCTCGCCTACCAATTTAAATATAAATAGAAATGCTTTAGCCATTTCTATTGTGGGGACCACATATATATGTACGTATAAATAATTCTTCAATTATAAAAAAAACTAGCATATCTAAACTATAAAAAGAAAAGGTAAATAAAATCTCATGTGTCATTGCAAGTGGAATTGTTTATTTAGCAAGATTGCTAAATTAACATTTGACTCCACATTGCTGCAATTGAATTAGCAATGGCCAATCACACCTAAGTTTTAGCAATTGCACATAAAAGGAATGGAGATGGTCTCACCACCTTGTAACCATTGTGATGGTCTCTTTACAATTATAAGAAAAGATGTTTGATCGCAAATAAAGTTTTTTTTTTAAAATTAATTATCTGTTGAGATCATGGACATAGCCTGTGTCATTAATAGTAAATGACCTGATAATACGTTATTTGTTCTCTACTTTGTACGACGTTAACGATTGTTGATGTATATTCTTAGATAGATGTTGTTGTTGGTATGCTAAGAGTAAGTGTAGTGGTAGTAGTTAAGGCTCCTTTTCTCCCGTAGTCTGCCTCTGAAGGCGCCCTACATCATCACGTACACTATGGTTATATGCCACGTGAAACACGCCGTTTCCTATACATCCAATTGTCAAACTTGGAACATAATTACGATAAAGAAATACCTAAAAAGTCATTAGGTAAGTGTAGTCTCTATTTCAATTTTTCTTTTTAAATACTGAATCAGCCAATCGTAGCAGGTACCTTTGGGTTGAGCAAATACATTCATTCCCTCGCCCACCAAATCTTTTCCAAAAGATATTGCAATCCTCTTGTATTACGACTTAATGAGTGTAAAGTGTGTGTTAAGACAATTTCTTAAGTGCAATATTGATGAAAGCAATAGGAAAGAGAACTGATACAAAAATTTGGAATCAACAATTCCACAAAACGAAACCGAAAAACAAGAAGAAGAAGAAGAAGAAGAAGAAGAAGAAGAAGTGAATAACAACACTCCATATAGAAGCAGAAAACAAAACGCAATATACAAAAGTCAATAAAAACTCACAACGAAGTTTAATGATACAAGGACTTGATCCATTCATGGTTGAGGGCAACTTAACACCTAATTGAACAAGATTAGTCGTAATGCAACACAAAAAAGCTATATTCCAAAAGGACCAATGAAAATAAAAAGCGAAGTCTAACTTTAGCTAAATCGTTTATGTTTTGAGCATCAACTCGAATATTAATGTATAGTGAGTACCTTCCAATTTTAAAAATCAGAACAAATCCTCCCAATACTACATAGATGTTCCCTGTGAGAACATGCACAATTGAAAAAAGCTAGCTCTCTGTGCAATCCAAGGAAGGACTCTGGTCATTTTGGACCAATCATTTTTCTACCCTGCAATTGCAATCCTTCTTCCGGTGCTTCAGTTTGATTCATCTTCTATTTGGGTTCCGCTAGAGTGTAATAGAGGATTGGCCTTAATTTGATACTTGGACCACTTATCATACAAGCACATTTAAAAGAAATCTATAGACTATAGATTAAAATCATTCACGCTTTTGTCACCTCACTAAATTTCACCAAACTCATCAATTATGTTGTCACGTCATCGTCAACTAACGAGATGTCGGATGAAAATTTAACGATTTGATTATTCTATTGTATTTCAAAAATTCTAACTATTATTTTGCCAAATTCGAAAGGTTTGGCTACTAAATAATTTTAGCCCAAATAATTTTTAAAAAATTCATTCATTCTTTGTTCGTTGTATTATGATTAAAGATTTTGAATTGCCTAATCAAAATGACTATTCAATATGAAGTGGGTGCAAAAACACCATCTAAATCTTGAATAATAAATTTCGGAGCATTGTACTGTCATCTAATCCCTAATGAGTAAAAACTATGTGCTACTTTTCTAGATCCTAGGTTTTTTGGTAGTAAACTCAAACGGTAGTTTATTTGGGTAATTTGCGAACTACGAATTTGATTTATGGTTGCGATGTATGTAGTAATGAATTTGGGTAATCTAACTTTAAGAAAATTCACACAGGTCATTACCGCCACAAAACTTGAATGAAGTGGGATTTACTCTGTGTTGATTTGTAAGTGACTAATCTTTTTGTTCGAAAAGTAAGTGACTAATCTGTGTGATCGCTATTGAATGAAAACATATTTGAATTACTCTTTTAAAAACTAAGTGGCAACAATTTTCTTACTAATATATTGATGGGACTCCATTAGCTTCAGTTGTTGAACCAAAATTTCTGGATCTCCTTGGTATAAATGCTAACAATTTGCTTTCCAATTGGTTGTGATGGTCAATAGATGATGATTTAATTTGTTGAATAGTCTCAATTATCTATCCATCAATATTATTGGTTTAAACTCCTAACTCCTAAGACTACATGACTTCGCTTAACAAAACTGCTACATGTTTGCTTGACATATTTAAGATATGATAGTAGTTTGAGTACATTGTTCGACTAAGTATTGGCAACCAATTTGCAAATTGTTCTACCTCATTCATCTGATGCATGTAATTCCAAATTTATACTCTGTGCACTGATAATAACAAAGATGACTATTGACAAAATTATTTCATGGATACTCTAAAGTTAATCAAAAGAAAAACTTTTTTTTATTGCGAATATCTCATGGAAAACAACTCTTTTGTTATTCTTTACCAACTTTTTATGGCGATAATAATTTTTTCACAAATATGTAGTTGAATTAGAGAATGAATATAATGTATATATTAGTTATAAATATTCTATTTGACGTGTTTTTTATGCGTTGTTTGGTATTTAATTTTATGACCCTACTTCTCTAAATTATTCATTGACAACTCTCAGAAGAAAACAGTCAACCGAGCCTTTACAATATATAGATAAAATTGAGCTACTTGCTTATCACACTAATACCTCTAAGTTGAGTACACCTCAATTTCAATATCAAATTCTTCGAGCCAAATGAATCATACTCTCCCGCCAATGGGTTGGGTCTATACTAGTTAGGTGTTATTGCACAACGGTAATGGTTTCATATATTTTCTATGGCTAGTCCATTCTAGCGTCACTTGTCACCTCCCTCACCTGGTCTATTATATGCAATATTGTTGCCAATCAAACCTTATGATGAAGTTTGAATTACAAAAAAAGGTGACACCAATAAGAGAAAAATAAATGGACATAAAGAAAGAAAAGGCCTGAAAAACAAGTGACGGGCATTAATAATTGGGCTTTTGTTTGGCCCACAACAAGAACCCAATAAAAGCAAGTCCACTATCTCGATATTCCCCCCTCCTCTCCTCCTCTTCCTTCCATCTGTATCCTAATATAGAGAATAAGCCAAAATAGTAAATTTCCATTCACGATTTGCACTCTCTTATCATCATAAAATAAGCTTCTTGAAACTTATTTTTACTCCTCCCATTTGCAACCTTTCCAAACTAAATATTAGTTTTCACTTTGAAGGACTCTTTCACTCTCTTACAAGGAAAACAATGTTAATGTTCTATGAGCAGGGGACTGCTGGTGGCCCAATCAAACTCCAGATATGTGAAATGAATATATAAAAAATTAGACAAAGAAAAAAAAAAGAATATAATATAGTCGAGAATTCTTTAATCCTTGTTGTTAGAGCTGCCCGTACAAGGAACAACCAAATTTTATATGGACCACGAGGAACACAAAGGAATATAATACTCTGAAAATAAGTAAGTGCAAGATATTGATAAATAGGGCATGTTTATGGTTAGTGTCTTGTATCAACATGTTTGCTTGTTGAGCAAGGACACAGACTCCGTTAGGCGGCCTTGATAGATAGATCAAAGGTCGACTTTTACTGGAGCTGAGTTTTGCTATTTAGACAAAGAATTAATCGGAGTTTGGGACATGATACTATACCCTAACCCCTAATGGGTAAATCCCAGTCCCCAATTCACTAACCCAAAGCATGAGATTCGTTTAATCTTAAAAATGAAAATCAACGATTCTGATTCGTCGAAATTTTCATTGGTTTTCATTTTAAGATTAAACGAAACTCATGGTTTGGGTTAGAAAATTAGGGACTGGGGTTCACCCATTAGAGGTTAGGGTATAGTATCATGCCCCTAACTCCGATTAATTCATGATCTATATAGCAAAACTCAATGAGGCCTACGCTAGCCTTTGCCATATATATATATATATATAAGTGTTTGTCTTTTGGCTTTCTGCTTAGCCAAAGAAGAGTTGTGTCTCCGTTACAAGTGAAAGGATTTCAATAGTACGTACGTATAGTGTTAGTGATAGGGGTTGGGGGTAGCTAATGATAGTTGCTTAATTAGGCTACAACTTGAGGTTGAAGCTTCCACACTTCTCAAGAGACATCATCATGAGAAAGGTCAGAGTCTTAAAGAGAATGGGATTTGTGTACTTTTAATTTGTTGTTAATTACATATATGCAAATGCAATCATCATCATCATTAATATTCATCCAAGCTAAAGGGGAAAACTATTGTTATTCGATTCTAGCAGCAGCCGAGGAGGGACCGGCCTAGCTAGCTAGGTTTGCTTTCATGGCTCATCTTATTCTTTGATGAACCAATTAAATTAATTAATGATGTAGTTAGTGTC